ATGCTAGCAGTTTGAGGCCTTTGTAACAATCCATAATGGAGCCAAAAAGCACACTACCAAACTTGCAGGGTGGTATTGAGGAAGAGAATAATAGTAAATAAAAGATTCTTTGAAATGTGTGGTCACACATTCTAGCTTCCAGGGAGCCTCAAACTGTGAAAAGTACGTTTTAAAACCTCTGATGATGAAGGGCATCTGATAGTGTATGCTTACACTCAGGGATATCACTCCGTTTCCTACTTCTGCTCTGAATAGTTAGGTCCCCACTTCAGTCTGGAATAAGCCTCGCTGCTGATGCTTTCTACTCGTGTGTGCGCACATACCCCCTTTCCCATCTTCACAAGTTAGCATTTGTTTTCTATGTTGTACTGTGCTGCCTCCACCCAGGTTCTAACTAGCAACTCCTGCAGCTACAACATGGAGCCCAGGCCAGACAGCATGGCCCAGTGTGATGGCTCTCACCTCCAGTGGGAGGAGCAATGCTTTTGGTTAAGCTTACCTGTCAATCATCATCTCTTCCTCAATGGCCATGTTTTCTAGGGCGCTGGAGAAACCCCTGGTTTCTCCATGTGGATCCCATGAAAAACTCCTCACAGTGCTCAGCTCTGGCACTGGCAGCGCCATAAAAAGTTCATTTCACATTCTTTAGAGAGAAGGGTTGGTTCTATTTATACGCCCTACTAAGGACTCCTTTTTGCAGTAGATTGATAACTCTGACTCATTGCTGGCTTGTGAGTTGTCACAGCCGCTAGATCTTTTCCTGCAGTTTCTAGTACCATTTTATCATTCTCTGACTTGCAGATAGTGTTACCAGAGAAATCTGCATTTTCAGAATTGTATCCTGCTTTTTTCACAGATTGGCGAAGTTCTGAATTCCAAACCAATCTTTCCCAGTTTAGCATATTAAATAAGCATATTCTGTTCTGTAATCCAGTCCATTAATGGAGATACTGAATAATTTTAGATCTGGGACAAAGTTTTTTGGGGAGCGCTTCAGAGATCCAGGGATGTGATTTGTTAGATGTGCCTCTTTTTTCCCTTGTATTTTCATAGTTGATGGGCTTGTGAGTATCTCTCTCATCAGATATGCAGGCTTTCTTATCAAAGACCAGTCTAATTATTGCTACATTTATAGGGCTATATAGGGCTAAGTCTGTAGGACTACAATTAAGACTGTAGCTATAATGATTTTTAAAAGTCCTTGACTACAGCATCATTACCTTTAGGAGTTATCTGAAGCTGTCAGGGTCTCTGCGGTAAAACCAGTGTTGGAACTATGCCTTGTTCAGGAATATGGCATTTTTATTTATTTGTTTCTGCACTAAATAGGTGTGCATGGGAAAATTTTAGAAGAGGTTGCAATGAACCCAAAACCTGTAAGTTGGTGAGACAATTTCTATGGTATTTTCTGAGTTATATTTATTTTTATAAGAACACTCAGAAAATTTATTACAGCAGACATTTGTTTGGGAAGCTGCAATGCTGAGAAAGATTTTGCAGAGGCTCCCTTCAGTAAATACAATGTAATAGAAATTAAAAGCCAGTACAGGCTTGGATTGTATGTGCAAAGGTCTTCTATCTAGAGGCAGCTATCAGAAAACACTGCCAACTAGAGAAAATGGGAGTCTATTGGAAAAGTGAGTAATCCACTACCTGGTAAAGTCACAGATCAGGAAATGGATGAATTTCCTGTAATATAGTCTTACTAAAAATACAGTAATACTAAATATTACTGAATTTAATCCCAGGCACTTGTTAGTATAAGAATGATGCTGATAAACTAATGGTATATTTGGAAGACTACCCAGAGTCACCTTATATTTCTTGTTCTGAAGCTGATTCAGTAGATCGCATGATACTGATACTGTCCTGCAGCGTAAACATTAAACAGGTAGAGAGATTTCCATAGATATCAGTGCTATAAAACTGAAGGAGGTATTAGCATACAGAAACCCAGAAAATGGTGGGTTCAGACTTTGACAAGATCATTTTACAAATGTTCAGGCAATGTATCACAATGTAAGCTGATCCCAAAAGTGCAAAAATCAGGATGCTGAACTGAGTATTTCAAATTAAAAAAAAACCCAAAACTCCCCAAAGAAAAAACCCAAAACAAAACAAACCCAACCCAACCAACAAAAAAACCCCCTACCAAATCTTGTGGGTTTTGGCCATATTCTCATTCTGGAATTCCTTGCACCTCCGAGTTAAGTGTGAAAATTTAAGGTAAAAAAATTAAGCCTTCTATGCTGAATTTGAGAGACATCTACACTTAAAAACTTCATCTGCCCCTTTTTCCCCACTGTCAGAGTCATCTCTGACTTCACTTCTCCTTGCATTTCATGCGCCCTCCTCATCCATGGTTTCTCTTCCACTGCTCCAAACCCAGCTCTCCATCTCTCCCTGTTTCACACTGCTATGAAACTTTACGTCGCTCAGCTCTAATACAATTTTGTAGCCTTTTTCTGACTATTTGTAGAAGTTACAGGAATACTTTTACCTTTGCCAATTCCTGCTGCTGTAACATGGAGTCAGCTGTTACTGCTGAGGTAATGGAAGTGCAAGGAGACTGCTGTGGGCTCTCTCCCATGCAGGGGCAAAGGACCTCTTCTCCTAGTCCCTTGTAGTGGATATTGGAACTGTAGACCTCAAACAAAATCCTAAGCAAATCTTCATTTTTTATTGGAAAATTCAAAGTACTAGAAAATAAAGTTTTCCGTGTCTGTGGAAAAGGTGGAAGCACTTGAGATGCAGGGTGGAATTTTAGCTTAGGAATGAGAGCAAAAGGCTTTTGAGCTTACTGCTTCTTACAGGGCCTTCAGTCTGAGTTACCTACATCTCAGGTGCACATCCCCACTGTCTGTCCATGTGTCCTGGGTATGGTTGGTATCTAGTTGCTTACAGACTGTGGCAAAAGGGCTCACATGGAAGATTATGAGAAGGTTGTACTTAATCTTTGGTACGTTGTGCATGCCAAAAACTGCATCTTGTTGAGCCTATCTTGCTTGATAGGTATACTGTCATAAGCATCCGTGACATCAGCCCTTCTTGTGACATCCATGACGTTGTTGTGAGAACTGCTGGGTCTAGGATCAGGACAGAAAAAATGAAGCAGCCATAATCTGACCAGCTAGCCAGTGGCCTAGCAATTCAGTTTCATTTGGTTTAGATAACATGGGATCTGCGTAGTTAGAAATCCTGCATTGTGGTAACTACTTCACAATGTGGGTTGGAAGGGACCCACAAGGATCATGAAGTCCAACTCCTGGCCCTGCACAGAACCATCCCCAAGAATCACATGTGCCTGAGAGCATTGTCCAAATGGTTCTTGAACTCTGCCAGGCTTAGTGTTATGACCGCTTCCCTGGGGAGCCTGTTCCAGTGCCCAACCACTTCACCCTCTGGGTCAAGAACCCTTTCCTAATATCTACTCAAACCTCCCCTGACACAACTTCAGGCCATTCCCTTGGGCCCTGCCACTAGTCACCACAGGGAAGAGAGATCAGTGTCTGCCACTCCTCTTCCCCTCACAAGGAAGTTGTAAACTGTGATGAGATCTCCGCTCAGTCTCCTCTCCTCCAGGCTGAACACACCAAGTGACCTCAGCCACTTCTCATACAGCTTCCCCTCAAGACCCTTCACCATCTTCGTTGCCCTCCTTTGGACACTCTCTAAGAACTTAATATCTTTCCTATATTGTGGTGCCCAAAACTGCACACCAGGTGAGGCCGCACCAGCGCAGAGTAGAGCAGGACAATCCCCTCCCTTGACCAGCTGTCCACGCTTTGCCTGATGCCCTCCAGGTCCATAGGACACTTACCTGATTTTTGTACCAAAAGTCCAACAGGGTTTCAATATTGGTTCCCTTAAAGCTTATGATGAAGGGAAGTTGTGGTAGAGATTTGGCCAATAGGTTCCCATCCTGAGGTAGCTAAATTTTCAGTGACTTCTGGCAAATTACGGCCTTGGCTTCAATAGTTTGTTTTCAGGTTTTGAACATGAGTTCACTGTTCATGCTCCTATAAATTTGTGATGGCAGTATCTAGAAGTGCAACCATGTGAGAATCTGATCAGAACTGATTTGCTCTACTCAGAAGTAAAATTTTATGTCAGTAAGTCACTGTGGTTTCAATGCTATGAGACAGCAAATAAAGTGGGAACGTGTTTACTTCAAAGTAGTGTCTGCACTCCAGTTGACAGTGTCAATCTTGCTTTCTCAATTACATTCTGGAAGAAATGCTGCTTTGTGTCTACTGAGACAGTCAACATGCCTTCAAAGCGTGCTTTCTTTTTTTTTTTTTAAACAAAGAACCATTTATTTATTTGCTGATAAATATTTATCTACTGATTGCTCTAACAACATCTTTGAACCTGCTAAGAAAAAAAGACTGATGTTCTTTTATGGGAGCCATACGGATAACCCTTTGTAGAGGCTTGTTGAGTACTTCAGAATGCACTTGCTAAGCAATAAGCACGAATTTGACATAATTTATGATCTGCAGTGATTACAGTTCCTGAACTCCCTTTGTGCTGCTATGTACCGTACAATTTCCACTTTCTGAATCCAAAAGTCAAAGTCTAGTGTGGCCTGCGTTGAGAAATAAAATGATTTTGGCATCAACTCTCTACCTTCAGTTTCTAACTTTCATGGAACTGAGAGGCTAAAGAAATCCTATCTCCTTTTCTTTAAGGCCATCTTCAGTTTAGAATAATTGATTATGCAAATAATAGAATCATGGAAGTTGGAAATTATGTCCAAGATCATTGAGTCCAACCTTTGACCATACACCACCATGTCAACTAAACCACAGCACTAAGTGCCATGTCCAGTAATTTCTTGAACACTTCCAGACATGGTGACTCCACTACCTCCCTGGGCAGCCTGTTTCAATGTTTAACCCTTTCAGTGAAATAATTCTTCCTGATGTCCAGCCTGAACCTCCCCTGGCACAACTTGAGGCCATTTCCTCTTGTCCTGTCACTATCTGCCTGGGAGAAGAGACTGAACCCCACCTTGCTACAACCTCCTTTCAGGTTGTTGTAGAGAGCAATGCATTTAATGTCTCACGTTAAACAATTTGACTATGTTTTCTGAGGAGTATTTCCTAGGTCACTGAATCCTGGCCCTCCTGAGAAACTGTATGTAAAGTTCTTCTTGTAAGTTGAGCATGCTCCTGTGTTATAAATAATTAAGTTCAGATGAACAAGATCCTTTTCCGTCTTGTTAAGCTGAATTCTAAATTCACTTACAGAAAGTTTATATACAGTTGTTCTGCACTAATGTCATCCGTTGCACTCCATGGTTGTCCATTTTTGCTCCACAGCACCGTCTTCCCTAAAGCACCAACAGAGAGTTGTTAACCCTTTTCAGCCCCATTTTTGCTAGCCTAAACAGACCTGTCTTTCGTGGGCTCCTGTGAGATTCTTCCTTCTCCTTGGCACTCCAGTTCTTCTTTGCACCTCTTCCAGATTGAACTGTTACTGAATATGGATAACTAAAACTGTGTGCAATGTTCCAATTTCCATTCACTTTCTCTATGTAAGATATGTTTAACCTCAGGGGAACTGAGTGATGCTGCTTTGAAACAGAGCCTAGATTTCCAGTTAGTTATAAACTATAGCAATCTTTAATGTTGGCTGTAAACCGCCACTGAAAGAAGTTCTACTAAGAAATGAAAGAGATAATATTTTCTGTATTATAACGATACCGTGTGTTCCATCAGTGTGTGAGGATCACTGAACATTTTTCTTTTTTTTTAATCAGTCTTCTGGCAAAGGCTGCTTTGCTTGCCCCGGGTCTAGTAGAGCTGCTCTTTCTCTCTCTCGGCAAGTTCCTCCGGGACCAGTTTCTCTCTGCGGTGGCTCACCCCGCACAAGGGCGTCCTCACGTATTTCCTGCAGAAGCACAAAAAAACCGCACAGGTTTGCCGCTGCCTGTAGCCGGCAGAGCGCTCTCTCCCTGCGGCGCTCGCCTGCCCCTGAGGGCGGGGGGGACCCGGCAGGGCGGCCGCAGGCCGAGGGCGCCCCAGCAAAGCCGCACAGGGCCCGGCCCCAGGGGGCCCCAGCGGCCCGCGCCGCTTCCCCGCCTGCCGGCGACACCCCCGCGGCACCCTCCTCAGCACCCCCTCAGCCCGGGCTCCAGCTTCTCCAGCCTTTCTTTAAGAGGAGGGGAGAGAAGGCGCGGGGGACGCAGCGCAGGCTGGACGAGAAATGCCAATTCCTCTGTCCATGGAACAGCGACCGCTGCGAGGGAGAGCCCGGGGCCTCCGGCAGGACAGTGATTAGTGCATAGACTAATTAGTCCATAAACAATTTCCTTCAAGCCTGGCTGAGTTGCAGCGTGCTCTTTAGAAAAAAATTTTTTCTGTAATGTGGAAACAATTACAGGATGACACTAAGATGTTCACATGTTAATTACTTCCACTGTCAAAAAAAGGATATAGAAGCATAGTATAGTTCATATTGAAAAACACCTCTAAAATCGAGTCCAACTGTTAACTTAGCGCTGCCATCTTCACTATGAAATCGTGTCCCCAGTTACCAGATCTAGATAATTTTTGAACACTTCCAGGAATTCCACCACTTCCCAGGGCAGCCTGTTCCAATGCCTTACCACCCTTTCAGTAAAGAAATTTTTCCTAACAACCAATCTAAACCTCCTTTGGTGCAACTTGAGACCGTTTCTTCTTGGCCCTCTCACTTGTTCCTTGGGGCAAGAAACTGTTGCCACCTGGCTACGATCTCCTCTCAGGTAGTTGTAGAGAACAGTCAGATATCCCCTGAACTTCATTTTCTCCAGGCTAAACAACCCCAGCTCCCTCAGCTGCTCCTCATATGACTTACTCTTCAGACTCTTCACCAGCTCTGTTACCCTTCTCTGGACATGCTCCGGCACCTCAATGTCTTTCTTGTACTGGAGGGCTCAGAACTGGACACAGGATTCAAGGTGCAGTAGCCTGCTGGCAGCCTGTCAGCAGGGAGAGAGTGAAGGAGTCTGCATTGCCCCATCAGGTCTGTGGATGAACTGGGGAATGATGCCTTGCCTGTACAAGTATGCCACCAGCTGTGGTAAGGTCTGACTCTCTCACCCCAAGCCATCAGCCTTGCAAAAATCTTGTCCATAATTTTTCCCCATTACTTCTTTATCCTTTTAATCATTATGCGATAACTTCTCTGATTAGTCCAAAAAAGCAAGTAGCTTCTGTAGAACAGCTTTTTGAACATATCGTGAGAGTGCTGCATTTTAAAAAACAGTGCTACTTAGCATTTTCTATAATTTTTAATGGCAAAAAAACAACTGAAAAGAATGGAGGCAGTAGCAAATTGATAGTAAAAGTGATGGTTAATTTATAGTCAAAGACACCTGCATTTGGAGATTATAAGCAAACAGCATGCATATCAGCAGCCCATTTAATTCAGTTATCCAAATTGATGTGCTACTTTTGTTGATGTCCTAGTTACAAGGGCTGGAACCAGTTTGTTGCTATGTGGGTATAACCAAAACTGTGTATTCTATACCCTCTATGTAATTTCTGATGGACTCTTAATAAAGGGGTTGTTTGCAGCAGCTGCCCAGGGCACACCTGACACCTCAGGCTACAAGCTGAGTGTTAAAGAAACCCTTCGAGGTAGGGGGGTGTTCTGTTTTCACACCAATGACTCCGCTGTGATAACTCTCCTCTGGAAAGGCACCTTCACACCCAGCCTGAGGGGTCATCTCTGCTAATGGGTCACAATGGACTGTCATAATAGGCAGCTGACACACCTAGACCATCAAAGATTCCAAAAATATCCCATGACTCACAGAGTTAAATCACCCATTGTGAAACTCCCCATCCTGGGGGAGGTACTGAGCATTCCCACCTTAACTTGAGCATATATAAACTTCAGGTTTTGGGACTTCTGGTGCCACTTGTCAGACTGAGAGGAAGACCAGAACTTCAACAGGACTGCAACCATTATTTCAACAGGACTGCGAACAGCATCCAGACCAACAGGTTTTCCTTTCCTTTTACTTAATACCCAGTGGGGCCACATGGTGCTCAGCACAGGGGCTAATGAATAATGTTCTGTTCTTGTCCCAGGGTGCTGGGTTATGTGTCTGTCTTTGGGGATTAAAACCAGTTTTTTCTGTATCATTGTACTTATTGTAATCTTTTTAGTAAATTGTAACTCTGACTCTCAAGTTGGATTCATTTCTCCCTCCGGTTTGCTCTTAAACCAGCACAGTTGAATGTATGTAATTTCAAGGGCCACTCTATTTCTGAGGGATAAGAACAGACAGGTAGAGTCAAAAGATGCAAAACCAGTCAGAACGGGTCCTATAAAGGAACAGGCACATGACATTTGCATCACCAGCACTCCCTCCCTCTCATTGCTCTTCTACCCTTTTTATGTGGTGAGCTGGGGACACAATACTTGTGCTGAAAGAACCTTTTTTGTATATAAGCTTGTAGAGTCTACAGAGCCATGGCACTCAGTATATGCACCAAAAAATGTCCATCTAGAAGAGTTATCAAAACTCTCATAGAAGTATTTGAGATAGGGTGTCTCTCCTTCCCTTTTTCTGCATTCAAACCAAGACACACAGCCTGAAATGCAAGATCATGTTGCCTTCCTCTCCAGGAATGCCAGACAGCAGAAGTGCTGGGAAGTCAGGTCTGGCTGCAGGTGTTCCTCACAGGGGTGCTGGAAACCACCGTCCCTTTAGGGCCAGTCCTTCAGCTGCAACAAAATGTTTGCTTGGCCTCTGAGATCAATATGCGCAACCTCAAGCCTTGAGAAAATCTGATCTTTTGAGAACCTCCCTGCCCCCCACTTTCCTTTTTTGATTTTTTTAGCATGCGGTATTGAAAGTGTTTGTCCCTCTGGCACCTGAGGGATGCGGTCACATGCTTGGTACTTACTGTTTAGCTAGTTCCGTTGATATTTGCTCCAAAGAGCATCCTTTTGTCTCTGGTATAAACACAGTAACAAAAGCCAGGGACGCTAGGCTCATTATTGTGTAAATGAAGCACACCCAGGACAAGCCAATGAGCTCTACAAAGGAAGAAAACATGTCTTTTTAAATCTTCTAATATTGCATTTTTTGTTTCTCTTGCTGTATTTTATAGTATACAGCCTCTAATGCACAGAAGTTAGAAAGAAGCTAGGCTGTAATTCTTAGCTCACATAGCTCAAAAAAGAAGAGTGGCTTTACTTTTTCTAATACTCCTTATGAAAGAAAATTGATAAGCCCATATTGACCCACTTAGCATGAACCTGTTGATTTATTTTGCTTGCGGTCACTCTGGATGAAAACAGTGAGTAGCCATTGCTACCGGCTTGTGCCAAGGCAGCGCGGGTCACAAGAGCCTTGAATTTTTGCCTGTGTATGGTTTTGGTCCACATTCTTTCATGAAGCAAATCCAAGCATGTTTTACACTGTTAACAGTTGTCTCCAGTTAATCCTCCCCACCTGTCAGTTCCCAGCATTTCCACTGCGAGTCACGGGTCCTGTGCCAGAAAGTGATCCAAGACTGAACTCCTAAGGAGCTCATCCAAGAACTAGCTGTTTTCTGAGCCTACAGTCCAGGGGCAGGTAGGTCCTCAGGCTGAGGGATGAACTCTGCAGCCCCTAGAAAGTAAAGCACATGCAAACCCAACAGGCTGCTACAGCTGCCTGTACCCAGCTGGACCACTGAGACATTTGTCAGTTTCATCACGGGCTAAAAGTTGCAGCTGAAGCTTCTAATCCAGCTGGTGTCTTCTGCATCATATACCTAAGTGCAGGTGCTGCTGGCCACTGTGACCTCCATGTGTATTCCTTTGACAGTAGAATTTCCAGTTCTGCCTTTCTGTTGTAGAATAAGAATGTACTTACACTTCCATAAATCCAGATTAGACCCAGCTAAGCCAATAGAGTTACTGGAGCTTTACAGTCATTGAAACTGAGACCAGGATAGCAGCAAGGTGTGCACTAACAAATAACACTCCATGACAAGAGGGGACCTTCAGGTGAAACCGCTGATGCTGAGCACCTTAGGTCTGTGCTGTCTGGTTTTGGGGACGTTTCTTTAGGAATAACTCTAATCTGGTCCAAGTGTTGGCAGCTGGAGTGCATTCACTACACATTTTCTTGTTTGGTTTTGTCCAAAAGCCTGTGCAGTTCAGGAGTGCAGTTCTGTGATGCAAACCAAAGTGCAGTGAGTGGGGGCAACTGGATGGTTTCCTTCTGAAGAAGACTGTTGATCTAACTAAAGTGCTAATGTGGACACACTGAATATTACCTGGCATATTTTTCCTAGTTTTAATCAAGAAAGTACTCAGGATGGGGAGTTTTATTATTGTTATTATTATTTCTCTCTTTATTTTTTTCTTAAGAAAAGAAAACACAAATGTGAAACCCCATTCTAGACACAGATCACACTCATTTTCAAATCTGTCTCAAAAAACACCTAACAGGGTGAAAACCACCTTGACTTTTTGTGGGTTGATTGTCTGCCTCTGGTGGAGAGTATGTGGAGTTAAAGGAAATTCTGGAATTTCTACTCCCTTATATATTTTGATTTTCAGCACATATTTTCCTCGGAATAAGACTGAAACTAAAATTTTCAAAACTTTGTATAATATAAAATTAGAAAAAAATTGCTAATCAATAAATTTCAGCATCAACATTTAACCTTTTCCTTTGATTATTGTCACATTAGAAGCTACTATATGGTAGTCTACTTTCTCACATTAAAATGTGAAATATTTTTAGCTCACAAAGACACTTTTCTCCTAAAGAAAATTTTCTCAAAGCCAACACATTCCTGTGAAAAGGAATTAATTAAATGGGAATGCCTTCAAAAATGTTTGATCAGAAAAGCTGTGGTCTGATCTAGAGCAGAACTTCCATTGACTTTGGAAGACGCAGGACTAAATCCTAAATATTATATGTTTTCAACCTACTAAGGCAATGGTGTTTTGAAGAGCTGGATTTCACAGCCTGTGGAGTTGATGTGCAAGGTGGTCTGATAGCTAGCACTGTGAGGCTGAAATTACTAGCACAAATGTAGAAAGATGTTACACCAACACCGAAACAGAGATCTTGGCTCCTGGGGCATCACAGCTGCAATTTTAGCAATGTTGTTTGTATAGGAAATATTCATTTTGCTCACTAAGAGCATATAAACTTGGAAGGACACAGAGAAATCTTACCAGTTACAGTCAAAAATGTCAAGGAGATGAGGAGATTTATACCCCAGTTCATGCTAGATGTCAAAGCCATAGCCCGTCCTCTGATCCCGCCAGGGAAAATTTCACTTAGGACCAGCCAGGACACTGAAAGAGAAGGAAAAAAAAAATTGTTGTCTTTGAAAGGATGGCTTTCCTTGCTGTAAATCTAGGTAGTCAATAAATTCAGGTGAGGCCACCTGAAACAATAAAGTTATTTTCAGGGGGTTAGGTTTGTGAGGGCCCATGCTCTGCAAGCAGCATGTGCAGCTGTCAGCATCACCCCAGGTCACCACCCCTTCATCCCTGAGCCAAGGACGGGTGGCACTGGACTGGGAAAGTGAGCTCTGACTGTACATCTGTGTATGAAAGGGAATTCTGACTAAATAACTCTTGATATAACACTAATGGAAGTGGGGCAGCAAACCAAAATAATCTTCGGCCTCAGAGCGGCACCATGTGTTTATGCCACCTTATAAATCAAGCTGCCACACTGAAGTATGTTTGCTATTCCAGCTCTCTGCTCCATATAAATGAGATTGCTAAGATATAAATGAGATTGCTAAGGTATAAATGAAGAGAGAGGGACTGATTTTTGACTGCTTCTTATCACACCACACCACAGGTGATCTAAATGCTGGTGTTGCTAGCTCACAAAAGCAAATTCAGATGTGAAGAGCTGGCTGTGTAACCACTTGATAGCAAGAGCAATTAGAAAAAAAAAGACAAAAAAAAGACACCACATATTTGTACCATTTCTGATTATTAGAAGACAAACAAAGAAAACCCCACAAACAAACCCAAACCCTAACCAAAAACAGCCTCCTTTTGTTGATAAGCAAGATGCATTAACAAGAGGTTGCTGTGTGGAGAGGTTGTGGGTTAGCAGATGACCAGAACAAGAGCAGAGAGGTACACCACACATGGATGAACTGTGGCTTCAGACCCTTGGTGATGCAATAATGGCCATCATTATAAAAACAACAATTCATCTGTGCTGTTGTTTCTGCAAAATGACAGATAAGAGTTTACTCAGGACACTTGAACTGGGCAGTCTTAAAGATATATTTTAAAAATAGGCTCCTGTACACCTGTACATGCAAGTGTGTTTCATGCTGCCCTATCCCTTTGGATCCTTGTAGAGTTCCTCTGTGACAGTATTGGTAAAGGTAGAAAACAAAAAAAAAGGTGATCCAGAAGGAGACTAGAAAGGACTAGCGAAAAGGGGGAAAAAAACCCCTAAGACTTGAATCAACTGAGTAGATTTGAGCAAACTCTAGATTTCTTTGTACCAGAGATTTGAATTCAAAAATATTTTGTGGACCTGGCCCAGACTTTTATGTTTTTTAGGGAAAAACATAGAAAGCTTTGCTCCCACAGTGTGAGTGACCCAGAAGAGTAATGATTTTATTCTGCAGAATCAAGACCATTCTGCTTAAAGGCCTAACACTGTTGGGCATAGTCAAGTGGCACACAGCCATAACACAGCCACCAAGTCTAACAGCAGGCAGATTTTTTTCTTTTTTTTTTTCTGACTTGGATCACATCAAAGTTTAATACACTCGCTGCTGACAAAACAAATGTTGCTCTGAAGAAATGCCCTCAGTCTGTTCTGTAGTGTGTCTACAGATGAGGAAGGAGCAAAGAAGAAGCAAACTGACTTCTCAAGCAGGTACTTTTTCCCTGCCAAGCCAGCTAGCCCTGCACCTGAGCAAATTCATGGGTATATCATGATTGTATTTTGCCCCTCCTCAGCATCAGGGCTGTTGAAACCAGTCCTGTTAGTCACATCTGATACAATATGTCACGACAGGGAGTGCTACCTGAAACGCAAAGCAGTAAGTGAGAAGCAAAGGAGCCCTTCTGAGAGGTGCATGCACAGCTGCTGAAGTTTGTCTCCACAGGACAGCCTGGCAGCCAGCAGCCAGCTCAGCTGGAAAAATTATTATACACTGAAAACTGGCAAAGGGGATATTTACAGTCACATTAGGATTAAAATAAAGGTTGAAAGAATTCAAGCCCACTTTCTGCAGGGCATAAACCAACCTCCAGGAATAAAGCAGCATTGTGGGCACTGGGGGATGGCTCATGCCACAGCTGAAATGCGTGACACTGCAGCAGTTCCAATACTGTGCAGTTCCCCAAGGACAGATTAGCCCTTTCAGGTTGAGTATAATTTGTCTGGAGGTTTGAAACATGTTGGTTTTCTGTTAAGAAACTAAAATACTTGAGGATCTGCATCAGCCACAATAGTGGTTAGCTGCTTTTACTGCAACCAGTTACTTAGTTCAGACAGATCCCATCAGACTGTTCTTCACGTCTGCTACTGGCAGCTACATCCGCTGGCTCTGACCTCCACTTAGCTGGCAAGGAGTGGATAGGCTTATTCCTCACGGAGAAAGAGCAGTTGTAGAAATCCGACACTACAGTCTGTTTATTCCTTTCACCAAGCTGAGGCAGCAATAACGATCGATTCTTTGCTTTTAGCACCTCTGTGGGATTGTGTATACTGTTTGTACCTTTGCCAAAAAGCAGCAGCTGCTGTAGGTATGGCAGGGATGTGACTTTCTTGGGGGGAGCCAGCAACTAGGTTCAGGCTCCAATTCATAATGACTGCTGCTACCTTCTGTGTTGTGTGCACACAACACTGAAAAAATTTAACCTACATGCTCCTGAAGTCACTGCCAAGTCAACTGTGTGCTTTGCCTTCACCAGCCTAAGCAGTGGCATTCTACAGGGGAAATCAGCCTATCCTTGAAAAGAGGATCCAAATACCTCCCCCCCTCCATCTGCTGTGTAATCTAACAGTATTTCAAAAGGATGTTGTGATAGCAACCACATTGCACAAACAATAGTTTTCAGTGCCTGCTCCAGCCACTCTTGCCTGATGTTAGTGGATCAGATGGGAAAAGAGTTAGAGCTGGTGCTCTCCAGGTCAGATGCAGATAAGAGATATGGCTAAGGGCTAGACAGCAGGAGTCTCTGTGCTAGATTCCACAACTGCAGGGTTTGTTGCTGCAGGCAGTAACTCACCTTTACTGACCTGCAGTGTGCTGTATGTTGACAGCAGTTACAAAAAATTGTGCAGTTTAATGGTCCTTTATTATGGTACAGTCCAGAAAAAACCCCACCTACTGCAAATGCAGACAAAAATACTGTATTGGATCAGAAAGCTTAACTGTTTCATTAAATATCACAAAAACGAAATGCCCTAACATTCCTTGCCCAAGTGGGAAGAGCAGAGGATTCAGGTATACAAACAGTCCCTTGACCACGATGGTGACATTCACCTCTAAACAAAGTCACAGGGGCTGCGAAGGCAGGAAACAGAATAATAATGGAAGATTTCTGCTACTTCCATTAAGGCTGAATAAATTGCATAATGGAACACAGTTCTGGGAGTATATTTTAGATACCAGAGATGATGGCTTCTTTTAGCACTTTGCCTGATACTTAATGAGAGAAAAAAGTCAAATCATGCTTCAGTGCTAAGCATGGGTAGTTCAACTGTAGTAGCAACTGTGACCGAGATGCTCTGCTACACTGGTTATAACATTTTAAATTCAGTATTCTTGAAGAAATGGAAAAGCAAGAGCCCACCAGATTTTGTTTCAAAAGGAGAACAATATTAGCATAAGCTTGCTTTCTATAAAGATCAGGGTAAATTCAGTGGTGCTATGGAGACTGTTTAAATTACCTGGTTAAAGGCTTAAAATACACATATAACCAAATAAATGTGAAATAGCTCCGCTCAGATAAAGTACTGAATGAAGAAAACTATTAGAAAAAGGAATGTGTCTTTCTGAAAGGTGTACACTGTGTTTGAACAAAGAAAACAGTATGATTGCTGAAACATTACTAGCAGTACCATCATCAAGCAGCTGAGTGTTTTGAAATCATGCTGTCTGAGAGGATGAGAGAACAGGGACAGAGGAGCTGACATGCCAACACTGAAGAAAACATTCCATTAGGATGCAGGAAGGGGTCAGCCTGGTACACTGTACCAAGCTGTTGGCTGGAGGTAGGATATAGGTAACTAATCTCAGCTGGAAAGGGGGATATGCACAGTGTCTTTAAGAAGAGTTGAGAAAAACCATGTCTCTTTGAAAGAGTTAAGGCATGGGGTTAGAACTGAATGAGCCACTGTGCTTTTCAGTCTCAAAGAGCTTTAGAGAAATGTTGTGGGATATAAAAGAAGCTATTCCTATGGATCAATAACTGTTTGTTACAGGAAACAAAGGACATGGCCAGTTTTCAGAGTGGAAGACAAATACTGTATTTCCAGATCTCTCAAGAAAGGGAGGTGAATGTATGTGCAAAACTTACCAATGGTACAAAATCATTTGGGGTAATAAAAATTAAGGATCATAAAGAATTGCAAAAGGATCTCAAAATATTGGGTACTTTGAACAGCGACCCATAAAATTCCTTATCAACACATGCAAAGTAACACGCAGGGAGAAAACCAGACAGCACTACACACTCCAGCTGTGCTTGGGACAGAAGTGTTAAAACCTCCATGGTCAGCTCAGGGACAGTATCAGCTCTGCAAGACAGAGGCCATGGCTGCAAAGGTTTGGCAGTTAGGAAGGCAATGAATGTGCCATTAAGCATGCTGTGCCTCTGTATTTGTCACGTTACGTGTCAATTTGGTCAACTCAGAAGTAGATGAGCCATGGAGAAATGTGTATAATGGGCTCTGCAAAGAGCAGTTAAACAGGTGAGGACTCTTCAGCTTAGAAAACGTACAGCAGAGGGGAACAGAGTTGCAGTGGAGATGAAGTGAAGACTGGTTTTAGTCACATTTTTAAAGATACAAGCCAAGAGAATCCAAGTGAAATTACCAGGGACAGCAGTTAGGTGAGACGGGAGGATATGCTTTTACAGACAATGTGTATTTCAACTATGGAACTCACTTTTACAAGATGCTTCATGTGTGAAAAATATTGGTGAGTTAAATCATTAAATGCTGGTTGTCTAAACATTATTTCTCTGTGTTTGTGAAAAAAGATCCATCAAGAACTACTGTTTACCATAACAAAAATAAATCCTCAACATTTTGCTTGAAGTTTGGAGACCTACCGATAGGTGGAAGGACACACTCTGCATGTTGCATGGGCCTTTTCTTCTATATTGTCCCTCAGTACCTGCTATTGGGTATTGTTTGAGTGGTCTTTTTGTTTGAGCCAATGTGGCCAACTTAATGAGCTTTATACCTGGGCCATAAGCAAAGAGATGTCTCAAACTCTCATGTAATATCTCTCTTATTTCCTTTCTTTACAGATATGCAGTAAATGAAAATTTAAAAAAAAAAATAAAAAAGTAAGAGACATCAGAGAAGCAGAAAAATATGACAATATCTGAGAAATACCACGATCTTGAGGGTGCTCAGTATTGAAGTGAAAGAATGAAAAATGTCCTTGTTTTGACCTTTCTCCTGCCAGGAGGCAGAAGCAAATTGGTAGCTGCTCAGCAGCTCTCATTAATGAAATATTAGATTCCCTTGGTATTCAATTGCTGCTTAGCATTTTTTCTTTCCTATACCTGTATTGTGTGATCAAATTCTTTATGGTGAGATTTAGAAAATGGTCACTGCAATACATGAAAGAATTCAAGTTCCTGAGGTATAAACTCTGGAAAGAGATTAGGTGGATTTACAGCTTAGGAGGGAAGTAGGCAGAATATGTAAGACTTTGAAAGGGAGGACTGGGTTGTTAACAACCTGAGGTCCAAGGGAAGATAAGGAAGGGATTATCCCACCAAGTGATGCAGATAGACCATCTAAGAACACTGGGGAAGGATGCAAGCAAGCCACTGTGAAGCTGCCATGACAGGAAAGAAGTCAAAGGACTTGGCTAATGCCTGGCTTTGCCAAGACCAGATATTTTTTTCCAGGCTTATGAAACCCCACAGACATTTCATTTGCCTGGTTTCTGTTTCCATTGGGTATTAACAGAAATACCCAGGTAGCCAACTACTTCCCACTAAAGGTCAGCTTCAGACCTAGTTGGCCTTGATTTCAAAGGGCATGTTGCAAGGGATGGAACAAGCCTTCACAGTGTGCATGGCGATGAGGTGTTTTCCCATGAGAAAACACTTGCAGCACTGGGACAGAGCTGGGATTTGGGAGGGACACACCTGCTGCTGTCACGCACCAGCACTGTCCCAGCATGGCTCCCAGCACCCACACAATGCAACTCTGGCAAAGGCTTTTGCAGCAATTCCAATGAAAGAAATCCAGGGGGCTGGCAAAAGTGAGGGTTGCTTAGACTGGAAAGAAGAGAGTGCGAGAGGGAGTTTGTCGTTTTCCAAAGCAGATAAAGGAGGTATGACACACAAAAGGCAGACTGGAACTCTGCCCAAGATTTTGTGCAAGGGGCAAAAGACGATCGTGACTGGCATTAAAAATCTATGATTTTGCTTAATGAGAGCTGTCTTTCTGTCTTTGCCCCGTGATATGAGACTGAAGTGGTTGCTCAAAATTAATAACTGGCAAATATAGACCAAATGAGCAGCTGTATTGCTTTGCAGAGCGTGTAAGCTGCCAGCGGAGTGCCAGCCTGACAGTCATACCCTGTATGCGCACATTGAAAGGAGTGGAATTGCTATATTGCTTGAGAGAGAGAGGAGTAGGAGAAGCCTCAGCTAACCTCATGCCTTTGGCTGCATCCTGGCAAAGGCAATAAATATGTTCATTAATTCTATGGCTTCCAAGGTGCTTCTCTCCAAGCAGCTTTATGACTACTGGTTGCAAGACACTTGATACCATTGATGATCTAAAAGGAGTTGATGTGGTGTGGCAAATCTAAATTATTTTTCTTTCCTTCTGGTACACTACAATTCTGTTTCTAATGGTTAAGCCTTTAAGCTGACTCCTTGAAATAACATTCTAAGGACAAGTGGGATTTAATCCTTTTTTCTCTGAGGCTCTATCAGAATATATAAAAATTTTTGCCCAGTGTTTGTACTATTTGCATCACTACCTGATAGACAAGCTGAGAACTCACATGCGCTTTTTTAAGGAACCTCAGTGGACCATTGAAATCACCCTTCACTTGTGCCTCCTCCAGTTTATGCAAGAGGAGCAGGAGGGTTAGAGGGGAAGAGACTGATTCCAATGCATTAGTTCCTTCCTGTTTTCTCAGCCACTTGAGAAGGAGAAGAGTGAGATGTAATTCACCTCTGATTTTCCCAAGCCATTCTTCCTCCCTTAACCTTCTCATAACTGTAGGCCTGCATTTTTAATGCCTTTTTTACTATTTGAATTTTCGTCTCCATGAACTTGAAAGAAATATAATGCCTCATATGGGCTTTCCTTTTTAGTGCAAGCTGTTCAATATATTCTTAAATCTATACTGCCCATTTTCATCTTGACAGAATAGTCACAAACATGAGCTTTCTCAGAGACAGTGATTCCCATCTGAAGGATTACCAGACAAGTAGTGATAGATATATAAGGATCTAGAAATGGTAGAATTCTCTTAGTTAATGTGATCTGTAGCCCATCTTGCCCCCCAAAAAAGTGCTCAGCAGCAAATCTATAGTAGGATTGTCCTGGTTTCAGCTGGGAGAGAGGCCATTTTCTTCTCAGTAGCTGGTACAGTGCTGTGTTTTCAATTCAGTATGAGAATAATGTTGATAAGAGACTGATGTTTAGTTGTTGCTAAGTAGTGCTTACTCTAAATCAAGGATTTTTCAGTTTCCCGTGCTAGGTTTCCCATTCCCAGTGAGCAGGTGCACAAGAAGCTGGGAGGGAGCATGGCCAGGACAGTTGACAGGAACTGGCCAAAAGGATATTCCATACAATACAGTGTCATGCCCAGTATATAAATTGGGTGGAGTTGACCAGGAGCCACTGATCACTGCTCAGGAACAGACTGGTCATTGGTCAGTGGGTGGTGAGCAATTGTATAGTGCATCACTTGGTTCTCTTGGATTTTATTCCTCTCTCTCTTGCTCGCTCCCCTTTTCATTACAATTATCAGTATTGATAATATTATCATCATTATCATTAGAATTATTTTTATATATTCTCTTGTTTCAATTATTAAGCTGTTCTTATGTCAACCCATGAGGTTTATCTTTTTTTCGAATTCTCCTCCCTGCTGGGTAAGGGGCAGGGGAAGGAGTGAGAAAGCAGCTGTGTGATACTTAGTTGCCAGCTGGGGTTAAAAAAGAAGGATGCATCCCAGATTTATTGTAGGCAGATATGTAAGTCTGTACCTCTTTTCAGGTACCCTAATAAAAGTTTTTTTCAACCAATGTAGGAAATGACAATTCTGTTTGCAACTGGATATTAACAGCCACTGTCTCTGTCTCTCTCTCTCATCCTTTGTTATGTCGACTCTCAAATTCTCCCATCAAGGCAGAACAACTTGCGGAGCAGCAAAAGAAAAAAAGAAGAGAGAAAAAAGGAAAATTTTAGACAAGCTTTCAAGGGAGAATGTGCTTATTATAATAAATCACCTACTGCCATCCAAAAAAAGGCCTTTTAATTAAAACCTGAAATATGTATTCCCATTTGTAGGTGTTTATTTGTTCAGAATATTGAATTGAGGATAATCCTTTGAGGCATTTGCAGAGGAATGACTGCAGAAGCCAGAGGCTCTAATTCATGAGGAAATTGTACATGAATTAGTTTGGCTTATCACATGTTTCACTTCTAAAAAGTATGCAGAGGAGAAATTACCCAGTTGGGTGGGGTGAATTAACCTGTTTTTCCAGTATCCAAGGGCTAACGTTGGTCCTTGATGGGTTGCACAGCTGAAAAAACTGTTGGGACACAGCAGGTGGGAGGTAAATTTGCTCTTGCAGAACAGAGATTTGTGTGCATGCTTCACAAAACTCCTGGTAGATAGGTAAGCAGCCTTTTACAGTAGTGACTTATTTAGTGAGAGGCCTGCAGTGATCCAGTCTTTTTAAGTTCCTCACTGGAAATTGCTGCTCAGGCTTTGCTTTTGTTGCTGCCAGAGTAATGCAGGAGGAAGGTGTGAAGGCTCTGTGCTCAACCACCACAAAGTGTCTTTTATGTCTCCTCCTTTCATAAGAATTTTCTGCAACTATGGTTGATTTTCAAAGGCAACCAGAAGCTGGGTGCCCTCCTGTGTTCCCTTTCCCTTTGAGAAAATCTTCCCGGTTTTCCTCACAGAGCTCAATGTGACACAGAAACTCAGATGCCATGGGAGAAACAGTCTCCTGACTTCATGCGCTGACTTACCGTGCTCTCTGTGCTTTGGCTGCCAGTCTCACCTTCCTCAGCAGTGCCAGTAAGTTATGTGATTGATTGCACATTTTTACCTTTATGGCATAATTGTTTTCTCATACTTTATAATACGTGTTTTAGTTTCATGAACTTTACAAGTGAAATAAGATACTGACTTTGCACTTAAGTCCTACTGCTGGTTTTAGTTTTTGCACATAACTGACCCAAGATCAGTTTGCCTCTAAAAAATTTCTCCCCAGCCCTTTCTCCCAATGGAAATTGGATTTTATGAAGCTTGACATATGACCTGGAAACTTTTTCACACATTTCAGTGTCACAATGATCTTCTCCCCCAGAACATGGTTAAGGAAACAAATGTAAAAGCTTTCACTGTCTTGTATATGATTATCAAAGAACCCTATTACTTACTGAATGATTAAATTCCTAAATTTGACCTACAAAGTAAGGAGGGCAAATTTGGCTAATGGTAAGCAGTCTTGACTACCATTCCAAAGCTTGTACAAGAGAATATGCGAGACTCACTTGACAGTGCATCACTTTACAGAAGATAATGTCCCTGTGGAACAAAAGAGGATTGTTAAGCCCAGTTACTAGTTAGAACCACAGCAATATTAATTCTCTAGGGTTTTTTTATGAAGTGAGTCTGGAGGTAAAATGCCTTATTTTGATCAGTGGCTACTAATATGAGCTGAACTTTATAACTATGCCTAACTTTAAGCACAGGCACCATTCCTCTTAAGAAGTATCTTTGTGTCAATGGGTTTATTAACATAGCACTATTAGAAAAGAGATATTTAAATAATCCAGAGCACCAGGATCATAACACTGACTCAAATCCTCATTTAAGGGGAGCATAACCACAGGTAGTCACAAACCACAGGTAGTCACATACCTTTTGTAGGTAGTTACCTACCTTTTCTAGGTAGTTCTTGGAGGGCCAAATTGTGTGCTCGCAACAGCAAATTGAACCACTGTCATTGCAGAGACACAGGAATACTGACTGGGGCATAGTGTTGTCTCTCCCTCTTTTCACAGTAGCAAGGGCTCTGTCTCTCAGAAGGCAGATCCCTTGTCTTGATGTACCAAGACTTTCCCTCATTAGCATACTTAAAGTTATGAACAGGAACACAGATGTCAGTGAAAATGGTGTCACTGATTTTAGGTGTGCACCTCAGTATATAGTTTAAATTCAGGCTCTATAATAAGAGAAATATAATAATATATATTAAAATAAGTAAGAAGCTCCCATTGACATTTCCATGTCTCATTATTGCAAAAGCACTTTTTCCTTCTTATTACCTTTTTGACACATTAAAAAGTCCTCACACTTGTAGGTTCCATGAAGTTAGATAAGATAAACCTATTTGTCTGGTATTTTGGAGAACATCTCCTGCAATTTGAAATCCTGTAATTAACACCCAACTATTCAAAAATATCTTAAATATCACACTTCACTACTACCAATCAGCCTGTGAAAAGGCAAACCAATTCCTGGGGCTTTAGATAAACTTTGTCTAGGGCAAGGAAATAGAGAGAAGTGGGAAATTCACAATCCTTGCCTTATTTTTAATTTTGGCATGCCTTGTCTTTCTGCTGCAGCTGGGTAGTATAGACACAGTGTGAAATAAAGGCCACATGGGGCACCATTTGAATAGTACAGGAATGATGAACTAGATAAATACTAGGAGTGTATATTCAAACCACATGGATGCATGCATTAAAAGGTGATTCAGTACAAATAAACAGTGCTAGGAATCTTGTAATAAAACAAAGAATCCAAGATTATTTTTTGATTTTCTAAAGCAGGACTTTCTGTACTATTTCTCAGGGAAATATGCACATTTCCAAGGTTTATTATCCTGATTAAATTCCAACAAAACATTTAAGCACTTGCTTGCTTTTGAACACTTGATTTAGTCCCCACCACTATCCCATTTTCCAGAATAAACTGCAAAAAACCTCATAAAATTGATGCTGCTCATTTCTGTGAAATTTAAGACTAGGTCACATCTGCTCTGAAAAATGTAGAAGCTCAAAAATAAAACATTGCAAACAAATGTCATATGAGGCAATGTTGAGCATGAATGTCTGTTATAGTGCAGATTCATGCGCGCTATAAATTAATACAATAACTACATGTTTTGTAAAAGCCTTAAATATTGCTCTAGTATCAAAGATATTGATGTGAATTCTAGACAACCAAATTTTGTACCAGTGTTTTCCAAGCTAGTGCAAGGCCATACAGCTTACAGTATTTCAAAACACAGGAATAGCCAACTAAATCCATGGAGGGTCAGAATTTCCACACTGACAGTTCTCAATCCCACAAGATTCTCCAGTTTCAGGTTGAACATTTGGTGGCCAAGATTAAGCCCAAGAGCATTAAGGGGCAGAGAAAGAGCAGTCCTATGCAATTCGTATTTTAAGGGTGGCAAGAGATATGACCTCTGTGATCGAGTCTCTGGGCTGTTCAGTGTCATATGAAACATACGTGAAACCAGCTGTTCTGGGTTCTGTTACAGATGCATTTAATGACTGAGGTGAAAGACACATAAAAGGTTCAGCATTTAACTGTGCTAATGAATCATGCTTTAACTCAGGTAGCCAGTTAATCTAACAATCACAGGACCAAAGTCAAGGGATTAAATTTGTGCAGTTCTTTGGGCTTTAGGGGAGTGTTCCAGCTTTGGGTTTTGGCTTGCTCAATACAACAAAATACATAGAGAAAAACCACCACAGACCACATAAGATTGCACAAGAAAGACAGTGATGAATTGAAGGCAGACTTACTTCCTTCTTCACCTCTATGGATTTACTTTTCGTGTGAACCCTTGAGCTTTCTTCCATCCTCCTTGATCTTTCTTGCCTGATCCTTTTTCCTTCTTCCCCACTGTCCCCAACATGGGTTTAAAGCTGCATTTAAATTACTCCAACAGCTTAGAATAAGATGTAGAGAAAACAAGTGGGTTTTTACATGGGAATAGAATAGAATAGAATAGAATAGAATAGAATAGAATAGAATAGAATAGAATAGAATAGAATAGAATAGTTTGGTACAAAGGGATCTACAATGAATATCTAGTCCAACTACATGAACACTTCAAGGCTTACTAAAAGTTAAAGCACACTATGTGTGGAATGCTATCACACAGTTTAATTTAGCTTCCTGATCACCCTAAGGTCCCTTAACAGCCAGTGAGGAAGGGAGCATTGTGCCAAAGGAGAGGTCACAGATTTCTCAGAACATTCTGAGTTGGCAGGGACCCACAAGGATCATCAAGTCCAACTCTTAATTGAATGGCCCATATGGGGATCAAATGGGGATTGAACCCGCAACCTTGGTGTTTTTAGCACCATGCTCTAACCAACTGAGACAGAGAGCAGGGGTTTGAAAGCCCCCCTTGGGTGGGGAAAATATTTCCCTTTGTTGATTATCTGAGGAATCTGGCTCCTGCATCAGTAAGATTACCAAACCTGTCGAAACATCTGTTCCATTTTAGGTATAAAGTATGTCAGTTTTAAAGTATTCATTCAAGCTGATATAAATTTAACTCAGATATACTTAATATGGCAAGTCTGCCTAGGTTTAAACTAGAAACAGACATCTGTCATCCTAAACTAGTCTTTCATCAGTAAAAATTTCCTCCTAAGATTTGCCCTCACTAGGGACTTGTCTTTACTGACTTCTCTGCATGAGTTTTGTTCCACACAGGTTGACAATCCACACAGAGAGCGCCCACAGCAGTGAGATGGTACATCACAGTAGAGCATAGTCACTGCACCTTCTTGGAGGGACCCAAGCTGGGTCCAGACACAATCCTGGGTCCTTCACATGGGAGGAATTTAATCAGTGTGAAACTAGTAAATCAAGAAGGCAGGCTTGGTGGTCTGCCACCCTTCCCTGCACCAGTATTATACAGGTGCTCAGAAATGAGGCCCAAGCATGCAGGTTGGAGCTGAATGGAAATCAGAGACAAAAAGCCTTTACCAACAGGTAACTCAGAAGGAAAGCCAATTCCCTACTGAGCTTTGGTTGTTAGAGCAAGTTTCCTGATGAAGAAAGTGACCGTAGTGACCACAAGTCCCTGACCTAGTCATCTGCCTGTATATCCTTTCTTGTGTCTGCTCCAACAGCTTTAAATCTGACTGCTAGCTTCAGCCAGGGAGCTGTTAGTGCCTCTGCATCCACACACAGAGAAAGGAGGCAAGAGGAGCAGGAGGAGCAAATGCAGGAGGAGCTTCAGTCCAAGGTGGCTGTGAGTCAGTGGCTGAGAGTCCCTCAGGGGGACACCCTGGGGGGAGCTGCTGTTCCCAAAACTGCCCCTCATTTTGTGGGTCCTGTGCTTGCCCTCCCCTAGTACATGGTCTGCAGATGTGCTTTGCAAGGTCTGGACCTCACAGCCCTGGGCACTGGTGGGTCACTCCCACAGCCAGCTGGTCTCCTGTTTTGTGGGTAATGTGCTCACTTCACAAGTTAAAAGGAAAGACTGCTGGGAATGAAGTAATGAGCATGCAATTTTTTTCCAGTTTTTCAATCACAGATATTCACCTGATGGCTGAGGCTAGTAGATAGTCACAGAGGGCATAATACCTCAGTATGAGAAGTCTTCCCATGGGTATTTAATTCCATTTTTTAACAAGTTTTATCAATACCAAAGTACTCCCCATCCTACAAGCACCAACTCATGGGAGCTATGCTTCAGTGGGACTGCAACAGCTATGTGGAAAAGCAGGGTTTGCAGTAAGCTCTAAATCCCTCCTCCAAGACCCTGTTGTGCACTTATATGTTGACCACAAGTATGTTAAAAATATATTTTAAGTTTTATATCTACATGGATGGGTAAATGTGGTATTTCTTTATGCCAACTCTGAAACTCAGAAGACATTTCTCCAACTGCAGACACTGAGTTGCCTTGGGTGTGTTGTGGCCACAGCAATCTGTGTGCAAAAAAGACTGAGTGTTTGGGGCATCCCTGCAGCTCTGAGATGTCATCTGAAAGAGAAACTTGTGATGGTCTACAAGAGATGAGCTCTGAGACTTTGCCCTTGGCTTTGAAAAGCCACATAAAACTGGCAGCTGCTCTAGGACATAAAGTAATAGAACACCCTCAGTCACAGGTTATCAGAGACATAAATATCTTTGGACTTTATACATCTAAGTGATTTTTAGGATGATTCATGTCATGAAATTGCTCCTCAGTCCCACTTGTAGGTGCTTTTGTTGATTTGCATCTGCACGTTCAGCATGAACTGCTGTGAAGCCAGTGGAGCTGAAGTGATTTGCTCCAGCAGATTACCCCAAGGTTCAGTGACCAACTGCCTAAATGTTTTTGCAGTTATACAGAAACACATTTAAAGGACTGACAGAGTAATAAGAGCTCTTTTGTGCAAGGTACCACTGCTATACATCCAGTCCAAATGCATGCATTTGACATCCCTCTCTCATTAAAAGTGTTCCCCATTCCACAGAAAAAAATCCCTGTGATATGCATGGATCCCCTTGAGCTTAACTTCCAAAATATGTGTAAAGAGGTACTGCTCAAGTCCTATTTGGCTCACTTGCTTTTAATTTCCTAGAACAAATTCAGAGTGGGAAAACAGATGCTCGGTTTGATCCAGACTCAGTTTGCATTACTTACTTGTCACCCTAAGTCTTGTTGGAGCCACTCTGATTTCTGTTCAACAAAGAGGAGTGTCCCTAGACCACACTGCATCCCTGCAGTGTGTGTGCAACTATCTCTCTTTCAGCTACTTATTAGTGAGATCACCCCATGAGACCTCCTCACTGAGGGGATATACAGGAAAATAGAGAGGAAAGTTGCCCCTAGTTAGTCTTTGATGCTAAATGGTGCAGAAGGAGATGATCAAGGCAGAAAAGCAGATCTTTGGTAACAGGTGCTATTTGACACCTGAATTTGAATTTTGTTCATCAGGTCCATGAGAAAAGCAGCAGGGCTTTGGGCACCCACTCTGTTTCAGAGAGGCTGGACCTGCCCTACAGTTAACTGAGAGAACTCTCTTGCACATGCTCCATCCAAATGCAGGAATCCCACACTTACAGCCTTTACTTTGAAAAATAAGTCTGATGCTTCAGGAGTTTGGCTTTCTTGGTTCCTGCATCTCAACATGTTGTATCACACAACAGTGATGAGTGAAGGAGTTGACACCTCTTTATGAGAAAGGACCTCTACTTTTTGCGCCTCACGTGGTTTGAACAGAATATTTGACAAATGAGATGCTCTGAAACTACTTCAGTTAACTCTGTGTCATTTAGTAAGTGGTCATGCATGGTCATGGCCCTGACTAGATTTTTTCAGTGTGTCCTTTGTATTAAATTAATTTCCAGGATCACATTGAACTTTTAGTTTGGGTGACAAATTGCTGATCTACCTCCTCCACACTACACTCATCTCATTAGCCTGCAGTCACTGATCCCTGTGAAAGGCATAGCAGTATTTCTGTGAGGCTCAGATTTCTCCTGTCCCCCCGTCCACATACAGCAGGTTCCAATGCTTCTCCTCACAAACGTGCTGAAAACAATGAAGAGTCTCTCTCCCACTCCTCACCCTTCACATGGCAGCCAGGGAGTGATGAGGGAGCTGGTGGAAGAGCTTGCCAAGCCGCTCTCCATCATCTACCAACAGTCCTGGCTCACTGGGGAGGTCCCAAATTATTGGAAGTTGGTGAATGTCATGCCCATCCACAAAAAGGGCTGGAAGGATGACCTGGGAAACTACAGGCCTGTCAGCCTGACCTCAGTGCCTGGCAAGGTTATGGAGCAGATCATCCTAAGTGCAGTCACACAGTATCTACAGGATGGACAAGGGATCAGACCCAGCCAGCATGGGTTTAGGAAGGGCAGGTCCTGTCTGACCAACCTGATCTCCTTTTATGATCAGGTGACCCATCTGGTGGATGAGGGGAAGGCTGTGGATGTGTCTACCTGGACTTCAGCAAAGCCTTTGACACCATCTCCCACAGCATCCTCCTGAAAAAGCTGGCAGACCACAGTTTGGACAGGGGCACTCTGTGCTGGGTTAGGAACTGGCTGGAAGGCCGGGCCCAGAGAGTGGTGGTGAACGGTGCTGCATCCAGTTGGTGCCCTGTCACTAGTGGTGTCCCCAGGGATCAGTGTTGGGCCCAGTCCTGTTTAATATCTTTATTGATGGTTTAGATGAGGGGATTGAGTCCACCATCAGCAAATTTGCAGATGACACTAAGTTGGGGGGAGTGTCGATCAGCTGGAAGGCAGGAGGGCTCTGCAGAGGGACCTGGACAGGCTGGAGAGTTGGGCTGATTCCAACGGGATGAGGTTCAACCAGGCCGAGTGCCAAGTCCTGCACTTTGGCCACAACAACTCCATGCAGTGCTACAGGCTGGGCACAGAGTGGCTGGAGAGCAGCCAGGCAGAAAGGGACCTTGGAGTTTGGATTGACAGGAAGCTGAACATGAGCCAGCAGTGTGCCCAGGTAGCCAAGAAGGTCAATGGCATCCTGGCCTGTATCAGGAACAGTGTGGCCAGCAGGTCCAGGGAAGTGATTCTTCCCCTATACTCAGTGCTGGTATACTCACCTCGAGTACTGTGTCCAGTTCTGGGCCCCTCAGTTCAGGAAGGATATTGAGGTGCTGGAGCAGGTCCAGAGAAGAGCAACAAGGCTGGTGAAGGGACTCGATCACAAGTCCTATGAGGAGAGGCTGAGGGAGCTGGGGTTGTTTAGCCTGGAGAAGAGGAGGCTCAGGGGAGACCTCATCACTCTCTATGACTACCTGAAAGGAGGTTGTAGCCAGGTGGGGGTTGGTCTCTTCTCCCAGGCAACTATCAGCAAGACAAGAGAGCATGGTCTTAAGCTGTGCCAGAGGAGATTTAGGGTAGATATTAGTCTGGTCTAGTGACCATGGTGGTAGTGGATCAAGGGTTGGACTTGATGATCTCAGAGGTTCCTTCCAACCCAACTGATTCTATGATTTTGTGATTCTATGATTCTTTAGGGCTCTGCAGGCATCTTTCCCTGGTGAGAATGGTTGATCCTCATTTGACCTTTCCGATACACAGATAAAGGTAACTCAAGACAAACATGGGTGTCAAGTAAGTCCCCTTAGCTAATGACTGCCTTGAAATGCCTCACCCCAGGAGAAATGGCATGTGCTGTTCTGTGACATGATGCAACACTGATTTGTTGCATCTACAAAACATCCTCATACTTGTGTGAAATTGAGTGTGAACAAGCAGTTGAATCGCAGTTCATGAAACATAAATAATCTGAAACAAAGCAGCAGAAATACTCCTTTTATCTTGTGTATGATATAAATACAGAGCACCCTAGAATCAAAAAATTGACTAAGCAGATGATTGCTAGTCTGTGAATTCTTTTGTAATGCAAAAATTACTTTTATCTCTCACTGTCTATTTTTGAGTGCTCATCACTGTGCTGCCTGTGTGCTTTGATAAAAGGCAATAAATATATTTAGCATATGCTCAGTTCATTAAAAAAAAATATCAGTCTACTTACTGTAATTTGAAGACAAAAGAGAAATCATGGAAAAATACAACATCTGTAAATGTCTACTATGTATGGACTATAACTATCTCTTTGGCCAGAATCAAAAGATAAAATAAAAGGGTAAAAAAAACCCAACAAAGTCATTAAAAAGAAGATGATAGAGCTCAGGTTGTGTGATCTGCCCTGTGAAGAGTGTGTCATTTCCTATTGGTGTTACATAGATTCTTCTTTATCCCCACAGAATGTAATACAGCATGGACTCAAAATATAGTGGGTGAATCCGTTCCAGAAATGGCCTTGTGGGATGGAGGGAAAAGAGGAAGATCTTCTCTGCTCTCTGTCCAAAAGATGCTGATTTGATCTACAAAGAGGCACATCCCCAACACTGCCTTTACCTTAGCCAGGCATACTTGCAGACATTGGATGGAGTATGAGATATTTGCACTGTAAATATAGCGGTGCAGGGATTACAGTGCTTCTGTGCTCAGGTGCCCTGGGCACCGCCTGGCCACAGCAGCCAGCAAGTGCAGCCTCGCTGCCTCCTTCCTGTTGCTGAGTAGACAATGATGAACAGTCTGGTCCAGACCACAGCCCAGATTTAGAGATGAATAACATAAACATGTTAAAATTGTTTGCTTTATATAAGCAGAGGAGCTCATTTTTTTTCTTTACACTAAGATAGGTTCACTGAGGATAAGAAAGATAGGCTCTGGAAATACATTCAGAGATTTGGGCTCCAGGCAGCAGATGTTGTTGGCTGTATATGACACGCAAATTATAACCGTGCATCTCAACCCAGATTATTTAACCACAATAGAGCCTTTGCAGATTCCAACAATCTCTTGGTACTTAATCACTTGCATTTTCTATATGTTGTAAATTTTAACTGAATAATGTACTTTCAAAGGGATGGAAATGCTTTGAAAGTACTTATCTGCAATTTGAAATACCTGTATGTCTCCTAGACCTGGCCTTCACTTGATAGGCAAATGTGTCTGTCAGATAAAATTGCCTCACTGTGGCTTTATCATACACAATTTCTACATGCTGGAGCTGAGATGGTGCCTGTTCCTTCCCATTTTCTGTTTGAAAGCATTTGAGCTTTCAAGTCAAGAAAGAGGTCAAAAAACAAGCACTGGCCTCAAAGATTTCTCAGATCAGCCTGGCAAACACATATCAGTTTTTGTAACCCTCAAGAAAGTAGACATCATTCTCATTAATTGTACATTAGCCCAACTCAAGTGACTAGGAACCCATTTACAGCCAGGTCAACAGGAAAGCAGATTTCAACAGGAGGCCAAGACTGAATGTGTGACCCTGCTCTAAGGGTCGCTAAATGTGCGTTTGAAACACCCAAGTAAAGTTCAAGTAACATTTTCTTTTCAGGGTTTCTCCCCTGTTTTTAAACCTATGTCATCAAAAGCAGAATAGCGCTAAGATGATCTTCAAGGAAAGGAATAATGCTGCAATAACACAGTCAAGCTTGCTGCTCCAGCAATGAATGCTTATTTCACGCTGCTCTCCCAGTGAGTAATGTTTTAAATAAACAAATACTGCAGGGAAGTTGCTGTTAGTACAGTTGTAGGGTTGTATCCTTGTGGCAAGCTTTTTATCATGATAGTACAACAGGAGTACAGTTTGTTTGCACGGCAAGTTTGAGCCAAGGTGCAAAAGCACATAAAGTCTGTTAATAAATATGGACTGTGTGCATGTGGTTTTTGCAGTGTGGCTTAAAAAATCAACCCCTTCAAAGAACAATAATATGCAAGTGCTATTGAAACAAAACAAAAGAAAATGGAGAGATTTAATTTCTAGTCCCTTGGAATGACAAACATTCTGTTCTTCTCTGAAGAGAATGGGAACTGTGCAAGTGTGATGGCAGGTGCAGAGGTACCTTAGCTGTATAGTGACATGCCTTTGTGTCCTTCCACTTATGTTGTTCAGCACAGGTAGAGGCAATAATATTAGAATTTGCTCATGATTTATGATACCTTGGATGTCTTTCCTATATCTGAAGACTATTACATAGTCAAGGGGACAGATTCTCAGCTGGACTCAGGCATGTCGGTATTTCATGGATTTGATGATGTCATACCATACAGAGGTCTAGAGCCTATAATTATCTTGGGTTTATGAGTTAGCATCAGAAAATACCTACATATTAATCTTCCCAACGTAAGGACACAATAGACATAATGGGGAAGGATAGCCAGGGGCCCCATAATTTTGCTGTACGAAGCTCACAGCAGTTATTAACTTGACTGAAGAGGGAGTAATTAATTTCACAGAATGGAAGGTAGATCAGGTCATTGGCCTTAATGGACAGGACCTCTTTCTAAAAAATACACCCCAGGCCCACCAGGGCGGTCTGTGACAATACCAGCGCATATTGGCAGAAAACACTGCTTTGCTCAACTTACTGTGTAATGCCAAGCTGGGCATGTCATCCCAGCACTTAATAATGTAAGTAAATCATTACAAAGGGTTAGAAAAATGAAACACTTACTTGGTCCAAGACCTATGGAAAATGCAGCAACATAAACAAGCAGGCTGGCCAGTGAGAGCCATTTCAGGACAACAGGAACCTCCCCACTTTCCATGTGAGACCCTGCTGTGCTTTTGCCTCCTGGCAGTGCAGTCCTGTTCAGTTCTCCTGTCCTGGCAACATCTGGGCTTTTCCGTGCATCAAATGATGATCTTTCTGTTGAAGTCAAGCTAGCAAAGAGGTCCTTAAGACTCCCATTGGTGAAAGTGAAGTTTCCTGGTCTCTGGAGAAAGAAATCCTCTGGAGATTGTCTTCTACAGACATTGGTGAAATTCACATGTATGTTACGGTTCACTAAGCCCATAGTGACCAACGATACTGCCATAACAGAAGAGCCAATACACAGAAAAGTTTTACTTCCAATTTGATCCACAAAAACTGTGGCTGGGACTGTACTAACAACTTTTACTACTCCAACTCCAGTAGAAGCCAAGCTGGCAGCTTCATTGCTCTGGAACCCAACTGACTTCAAAACAGTCGATGCATAAAATAAAATGTTGGGTTGCCCAGTTGTTTGCACAAAAAAGACTAGAGTGAGTCCTACCAGCATTCGGGCTCTCATGTTGTTTTTTGAACGAAACAGGTCCAAGAGACTATACTGATGTTCATCTTTCAGGGAAGACTTGATCACAGTAAGTTCTTTAGTAGCATCTGACGTTTCCCGTAGCCTCTCCAGTACTTTTCTTGCAGCTTCATCATTATTTTTCATGACAAGAAACCGAGGACTTGGAGGAAGGAAATACATGGCAATAGCTTGCAAAGCACCTAATGGAATCACAAGGCCGAACATGTACTTCCAGCCATGAGATATGCTGGCAAATGCATAATTTGAAATATAGGCAAAGAGAATGCCTATCACAATCATGAGTTCATTTAATGATACAAGGAGGCCTCTTCTGTGCTGTGGGGCAATCTCAGCAATATAGACACACGTTGCAATTGATGATAATGATATGGAAATACCTATGGCAATCCGTCCCACAATAAGTATCTCATATGATTCATAGGGCAGTAAAATCAGACTCCCCAACACAAGTAAAGAAGATGCAATAATAATAGCAAGTCTCCTTCCAAATCTGTCTATCAGAAATCCACCAATAAGGGATGCAAATAGGGCCCCAAAAAGCAGGGAACTTACAATGATTTCCTGCTCTTTGCAAGAGAGTGCTAATATGCTGCTTATCTGAAGAAGAGCTCCAGAGATAAGGCCCAACTCATAACCCATCAGAAGTCCACTTATGGCAGCAATAGCAGAAGATAGAAAGGTAAATGTTCCACAACCTGAAATAAGAGAATAAAACACAAAAACTTGAAAGAGTGACTTCTGTAACATTATGACAATTAATAATAACTTTATTTGATATACCGGTTTAAAAAATCTATTTGTAACTTCTAGGCAAAGCACTTAAGTTCCATACATATCCAGCAGCAGTGGTGACACAAAAAACTATTTTGGGGGGGAAAAAAGTAATTATATAAAATCCTCTTTAATTTTAATGCTTTTGGGTACCTTATCTTCCTGATCTGAAGTCAATAAAGTTTTGATCAGGTCCTAAATAATCAAACCTTCTGCTTCAGAATATCATTGTAAAAAGCAACATTTATATTACAGCCTTTTGGTAAGAAAGCAATTTTTGCCTTGAGATATTTTCAGTGTTTTTCCTGTACTGAATTGAAGAAGTCTCATCCACCCAACTACTGTACCATGGGCAAGGAAAGCAGTAATTTCCCATCCAAACTGCTTCAACCTTGACTTGAATAAGTAACAAGTATTCCCTCACCACTTAATTAATTCCTTTGCTTCACCTGAGGATGCTATGAAGGCTGCTGGTACAAGTGTTTTTATTTTGCCAATGGAGACTTATTCAATGAGCACCAGTTTGATCCAGATATATGGGATATTCTAGGGAAACCAATCTATGAGATACAAACTCATGAACTTTCTGAGCTTTGCTCATCTCTAATCTCAAATTCTTCGGAATATCGGGATCAAATATTTTGCATAGTTTATGACAGCTATAATGTCAGGAATAAGAAACAGATGGTGAAAACGTAAACCAAATGGAGATTATATGCCTTTGAATGTCCACTTTAAAACAAACTCATTTTATACAACTGTGATTCATTGTTTATTGTTACAAGATAGACTTGACTGATCATATTCTACTAACTGTGAAGCCTTTTGCACCCTAAACCTTGAGGAATATATCAGTTTGTTATTATTGGCCTTGTTCTTTCTCCCAGCATGATTTTCCTCTCATCATGATGTTGGCTGCCACGCAACTAGGAAAAGAGTAAATTGACTTCTGACTTCCACTTAGTTAGAGAAGTAGGATGTGTCTGAGGAGAGGTAGCTTTTGCAGCATAACAGGGTCCGTATTTTAGTTAATTATCCTGGAACAAGTACTTTCCAGCCAAGCCGGAAAGTGGTATATGGTCTAATTGAAAATGATACATGCAGTTTGTTTATTTTTAGCTTATTTTTCTAAGGCATTAGGGCTCTTTGATCATGTGCACTGCCTGGAGTTCCTTGCCAGTAACTTTTGAGCACATTGGCAAGGATCAGTCCCGTTTGACAAGAGGATATTACATTTCGAAAGCAAATCATGAAAAGAGAGGAGGAGAGTAGCCCTAGCAGTACATCTGCACTACTAAAATAAACAATGCCAGAGCCCAGGCCCAGACCCTGGCATGTGGCCACATACCCTACTAAATTTCTGGCATGATCCCTGGCCTGGTTATGCCCCAAGCCACCTCATGCTCCCCTAGCTTTTCCCAGAAGCAGTGTGAGCCCAGCATCCCACCCTGCAGCTGCTCCACAGGCAGATGGGTTATTTTGGAGAGTAGCACAGTATAACTGTGTGACTATAAGTGCTGCCTCCAGGATCAGAGGAGATGTGTAAGCCCATTAAGTCTATTAAAATAAGTATCACATATTAGTTCTGCTAACTTTGAGCCAAGCAGAAGCCAAACAGCAGCCGCCCTGAGATACTGAGCACACCCAATGCACCTCAACTCACTCTGTTACTGAACTGGTGTGACTTGCAAACCAGAGATACATAAGAGATAGGAGAGAAGAATGTGGTTTTGTCATGATGGGCCATAAGGACATGGGGGAAATGGGAGTATTGTGAAAAGTCTTTCAGAAGGTGAGGGTGGAGGGCAGATGGAGGTGGGACATCTTGAAGAAAATACCAGAAACAAATTTGCAAAATGCTCCAGTGATGGAACAATCTTTTTTTATATCAGTGTTGTCCATATCTGTATCATGTCTAAAGCTTTTTCTTCATTTATATCTGCAGTATCTGAGATCAGTTTGCTTATTTTAGATAGAGGTTAGTGCATGGGTTAGAGCAAGGTCCTGCTGTCCTTACTTCACACATTGAACAGTAATTCAGCAGAAGTACTTCTAACTCCAGCTAAGATGCTTTGTGCTACACGTGCTCCATCCTCCAGTGCACACATGCAATATTTGTTTTATCATTGCAAAACTAATTTCTCCTTCCCCTTTATAGTCTTGACTTGCTTGCTTGCTGTATATTATTAGATGTAGAAAATATACCTGTCCAATGAACCCTGTTTGGAAGTCAGGGCTGATAACAATACAGTGTTATGCTGAAGGAATGATCTGGGGTATCAGAAGTGAAACAGCTAATTTGATCACAGCTCTGCCCGAACTACTGTTCAGTGATGGTGTTTGTGCTTTCTTGGATATCTTTGTATTTTATGTCTCTGAGCCACATAGATTTAACATAAGATTTTGCCTCAATTTGCATATTATGAAGGGAAAAGAGACCATTGTGGTCATCCAGTCTGACACTCATGAACAGCATAACATAATCCTTCAGACACACTTAAAAGACACTTTATTTGAACTAGGTGACTTAAAATATTCAGCTTTGATTTAAAAATTGCTACTGATTGAAAACCAATGACTTTATGTCATAAATTGTCTCCTTAATTGCTTTCACTGTAAATTATTTCTAGACTTAATTTCTGCAACTTCAACTTTCAGCTATCAGATCCCATTCTCCATTTCCTTGCATTTATCTGTGGTTGCTAAGTACAAAGTTATAGCCTGTCATTGAGTCATCCCACAGACATCTCCTTTATTAGCTACTTAGCCTGTGAGGCTTTATAAGTTTACCAATCCCTTAAGTATTCAAAACCTTGTTCTCTGAACTTTATCCAGATCATCAGCTTCTTCAGTAAATTCTGATTTGGAACCAGTGCTCCTGCAGTGGTTGCACAGTGCCAGATAGGAATTTGACATAATTATCCCACTCCTGGTGGACATTTCCCTGCTTGTCTAAGGATTGTCACAGCCATGTAAAGGAGCTCATCTTCTGGCTATCCTACAGGAAAACCAACTTCTTTACTGACTGGGTTCTTTCCAAAGCACTGCCTTTCCTTTAAATAGGGCCTGCCTTTTTGCATCCTAGTGAGGAATGCAAATCACTTTACATTTGTCTGTATTAAAATACATAGAATGGGTTAAACTTACCTAACTGTGAGAGATCTGCAGCATCCCTAGATTTCTTTTTAAACTAGTTGCAAAAAATAGGCACTTCTAGATGTCTGAATTAAGCTGGATGCCTATTCTCTCTATTGTCTATAAAAGGCAACTGTGCAGCTTGCTCAGATGCAGATGTCTAAAGTTAGCAGAGAGGAACCCCAGATAGCACATTCACTCACAGTCAGCAGGCTAAACCATCCAGATTGCATTCAACCAGTGAAATATCCCATTTATTAATCACCCATCACCTGTATCACCCACAAATAATCTGTTATTATCTTCTTCCAAGTAATTGAGAAAAAATGTTTAGTAACAGAGGGACAAAAACTGAGTTTAAGGCTCTCCAGTAGAAACACAGCAGCATGGACAGTGCTCCCTATTGATACTTTGAAGTCTGTGTCCTGCATAGCTTTTAATTCTTTAAATGTGCGAGCGTCATGTTTGTATGGTTGCAGTTTCTGCATGACAGCGCCAAGTCAAATATCTCAAGAGAGATATTTGAACCATCAGCATGGTTCTTTGCAATTCAGACTGTGCTCTCCTCAGCCTGTGGTCCTCAGATCACAGCAACCAAGATGATTATTTGTTTTTAATCTGAGAGGCTGTACAAGTTGGATGTGGAGCTTGGACACCTGGGAATTTGACAGGGAAGCATTCAAGCCCGTATATTTCTTGCTTCTCCAAGTAGAGCAACTTGATCAATGTCTTAATGTTTCGTTAGTTTGTTTTAACTTGGTCAGCTGGTATCATTCTTCATGTATCCAATGACACTCGCCCACAGTTGTATAGAAATGGTGTAGGGCTGTAAGTAGAGCACCTCTGAGTGAAAAGCAGATCCTGATGTGATGCAGGGGGAAACGCTGTCATTCTTCATTGGCAACAGCAAGCTCAGCAGTTAACTCGGTATCTCTTGTCCCTCACAGCCACTATTCTGCTGAGAAACGTCCTTATATCATTATGAGGTTTTGTTTTAACTGATGTACCCAACACTTGCCTGCTCTTAACTGCCTGCTGAGTTAAACCCTGAATCTCTGCTCAGTTTTCCTTCATGGCCTTCCTCTAGGCAAAATTGCCTCTGACTTCAGCATATGTTTTCCTTTAACTTTTCCAGATAAAGCACGTTGCATAGCTGTATTCACAATCCTTTTAAGTGTCACTTCTAATGATGTTGTTGGCAGTTCTTAGGCATTCCTTTTTTTTTTTTTAAAAAAAAAGCTTCTTAAAATATATATATTTCTCTTATTTTTATGAGATGCCTGCAAAATACATGGCAGTGGGCAGCCCAGGGGAATAAAATATTTTAATGATGACTTCCAGAGAATTTTCTCCTTCTGTCTGCCACAAACTCCATGGATAACGAGTGTGTGGCCGGTATGTGACAAGTGATTCGAAACTCTATTCTCTAGTTTCCCCATGTAAACAAAGTGGTTTCTCACAACTGTTATTCAAGTCAAAAGCAGCACTACTTGGCAAACAAAACCTATCTTTAAGAACATTCACTGGAAATGTTTATGCTTGGTTCCTGAAAAGGAGACCAAGTGCAGTTGTAGTATAGCATAGTGTACTGTTGATGAGGCTGGATGGGGCCAAGCAGTAAGGGTGTGCCCCTTTACTTATTTTCAGTCAGATATCTGGGAAAATAAAGTCCTTCCAAAGGTACAATATTTGATCTGTGCATGTATTTTATGGGCATTATGGATAAATGATCAGTGCCAGGGAAGATCCGCAATCAAGCTGAGCTGGGAAACACCACTCTTCACTCACCCCGTGTGAGGGAGAGGTATGGGAAAGGTGCCTGGGAGCCCTTTCCAGCTCAGTTTTGCAGTAGTACACTCCAAGTTAGGCCAGACACTGATATTTCTGTGATGTAGTTTTTCTTTCTTTTCTCCCAAGAGATCATGCAGTGTGCATAAAGAAAACTACTGAGCTGGAGAGGAGGGGAGATTACTTTATGTAACCTGTGCAAATATATCTATTTTGATAGGAGGGGACTCAACAATCTCTTCCACCATTATACTTTCTTCTGTTTACTTTGATTTAATCTAAGGTGAAAAATGCCTCAGTTTGGTAGGGAAGGACAGTTTTCTGGAAGGTCAAATATGTATTCTTTAAATCCGTGAAAATTCTTTGATCTATTTAGACATTTGGAAGGTGAAATCAAGCTCTGGTTAATACCATTAACCAGAGGTTAATTTCAACCACTGGTTAATAAGCTCAGATTAGAAAACCACAATGAGTTGAGTGCATTGCATAGATATGAATCCACAGCATGGAATCTCCTTTTTTCCACAGAACAAGGTATCTACTTTTATCCATGGTAGATCTTAAAACATCTTACAACTGTATCTGAAATTTTTAAGCTATCTTTAACAACATATTTCTTTTCCATCTGAGTGCTGTCTGACATACAAAAACTTTGTCTTTCCAGGGAAATAGTACTTAAAATTTCCCACATTGTCTTTAAAGAAGATTTTGCTAAAGTTTATAGCAGGTGGATCACATTTTTTTTTTAGGATAAATATTTATGGCATGTATTGGGCATTGCTGCATAATTAAATTGTGGGTTTGCTTCTCATAAGGTGATTATCCTATTTTCATATTATCATGATCTCTGTTGCACTGTCACAGCCACTTTCTCTGCCTCAATTCACTTGTCTGGTATAAAGAGATACATTACTCTCTTTCTCTAGTCCAAGGCCTGAGCTTTCTTTAGATCCAGTAGCTGCTCAATAGGTGCATTTCTCCTATTAGCTAGGACACATCTGATCTAAGTGGCCCTCTAGAAATCTGTCATGGGATCTAAAACAGTTGGCCAACAAGACCCTATGGATGAAAAAAATGGTGGCTTTGGGACAAAGCTATGTTGCAAACAGCTGGAAAATCTGAGAAAATATTAACTTTACCCAGAAATAGTAAGGGTCATGTGGGATCACAACCATTTGACAACCCAAGTGTGAAAGGCAAACCCAAACCAAATATTTTGTAAATTGAACTAAAAAAGAAGGCAGAAGAAAACTAATGTATCACACATTTTCACACATCTAAATTCCTCTGATGGTGGAAAGCATTGTATACATTGTACAGCATAAGCGTGATGAATATACTTTGTGAATAATATTCAATTTCATGAACAGAAGCCCCTGGCAGTGACGGAAAGACAGGGGATGCACATGCTGGACAGACCCACCTTGACCATGTCCTCTCTTACTGCTCTGCCATGTATTTTTATTATGTCAACAAACAGCCTGACCCTTCATTAAATGGCATTTGGGCTTTGATTTGTTAGTTTCCTGTGAGATTCTACAAGTTCTTTTAATTCCTAGCTAGGTGATTATAAATTCCTCAGGTTACTGATTTAATTTTTCAGGGTGATGTCAAGTGACTAATTTGTACATACTCTTCTAACCTTAGCCCTTGTGCTGCAGAAACTTTGCTGTTTATTGTAACTGCTATGCTTCCCTTTCATAAGGCTATCCTACAACCATCTGCATTGCTCCTCTCAGTCCCTAAGGTAATGATAAATATTTCTGTACACCTCCTGGCTTTCTGTTCTTGATTAACCTCTGCTTCCAGGTATCAGGAGATGTTGCTTGCTGATCATTATTACACTTCAACAAAGCATTTGTGCCTATGGTATCTGAACATTCATGGGCTAGTTAGTTCATTCAGTACTAAGTGAACAAAACCTGCTTGGGACAGTAATTTCCAGCTTATGACCGTGTTGTGCTGTTTGGGTACAGTTGTCTTGTGGGTGAGAAATATCATAATTATGGGGCATTTTCCCCTTGATCTTATCATCAGTGAAAGAATCTAAAGATGCAAACCCATGCTGTAGCTTAGAAAAGGGGGCTGGATAGGACAGCAAAGATGAACAGCTATAAAATTCAGCTTCCGGACTAAAAAATTTTCTGCAGAAGAAATGCTACAGTTGATGTTTGAGGGCATCAGCACAGAAACCCTGTTTCTTCCTGAGATGCTAAGGAAGTAAAACCAGGAGGTAGACCCTGTCCCTCTCCCTTCTACTGTCTCCCTTCATGAGCAGGTGCAGTATTTACCTGGCCCCCCTCCACTCACTTTGGTGAAAAGGGCTGAATTACTCCCAAGTATGCAAAGACCAGAGCACCGTTGTTATCTGAGATGGTAACAGGTTCTCCTATTTTTCAGGTGACTGATCTTCATAAAGGAAAAGGATTTACACAACAAACAGCACATGCACAAGCAGGAGGACCGAGGCCTTTTAGGGAAAGTACCACATAAACCTTCATTCAAAATTCAAACTGGCAGTCCTGTTCCTTACTCATATGTTCCCCTCTTGCACTTTCAGAAACTGAGACAGCATATCCTGAGAGTCCCTTGGCTTCATGGGGCCGTTCTCCCCCAGCCCCGAGCACTAGCTAGGTGAGCAGCTGCTGCTGGCCAACAGCTGGCATTCAGCTCTTGCCGCCTTACCTGTTGCAGCTGGGAGCTGGCGGCAGCTGCTGCCCTGCCTCCTCTCCTCATCCTCCCCTGCTCTCATTGTCTGGCTCTGTTGGCTGAGGTCCTCCGTGCTCTGCCCAGCTACCATCGCCACCCTCTTTGCACCTTGGGCAGGAGCACTTCACACGGCAGCGATCCTTCCCCGGCCGGCCAGGAAAGTGCAGGTTGTTTTCCTCATGGCAACAAGTTGCTGAAGCTGGCTGAAACCAAATGCAAACCACAAAGTGGTTTGTGAACAACTTTGTTGCTATTTCAGAAGGCTTTGCCCTTTGCAGTGACACAGGCTGTTGCTATTCTGGGGAGCCTATTGCAGGCGAGGGGAGGGCCCTCTCTCGGAAGTGGTGGTTTTGCCTTTTAACAAATATTTGGAGGCATCAGACTTTCAGGCACAGCTCAGTGTACATTCCTTACCCACTCACTTATAAGATGTCTCTCTCTCTCCCTCTCTGCCTTTTCCTCCTCTCTCTGCTGTTCATACGCACAGGTTTTTAGCAGAGAAAGCACACTGAAGGGGAGGGTTTGAAGTATTTGCTGTGTCAGCTAAAGTTAGGGCACCAAGCACGCACGCACAGCATTGCTTCATTCTTGTAAGTTATGAGCAAGTTATGGTGAGAAATAGCGGAGAGGAAGAAACCCTGGCAGTCCTTTACAGTCTGTGACAGTAGGAATCAGGACTTTTCATGGCAAAGACGTACATGATAAGCAAATGAAAGGCAAGCCACCCTCTCTTCCATGACAATTATTTGTGGGAAAACTGATACTGTCTCAGCTATATTCAGTCAAAGGCTTGATTTTGGCAGCTGCTGGGAGTCATTCCATCCCTATTGGTTCTGTAGATGCAGTGGCCAGAGGCAGGATGGCAGCAGCAGGAAAAGCTTACAGAGGGTGCAAGTGAGCTGCATACAGAGGCTGCCTGCCCTGCTCTGTCCTAGTCCTGGTGGGAGAGCCTCCAAATCCTCTCAGCAGACCCACTGGTCTCATGAAGCAAGTTGTCCAAGCTATCCCCAGTGGGAATCGCTGTTGTATAATTTGGCAGTGCTGCAGGCTTCTTGTTTGTGCTGTCTTTCATTACTTGCTGTTTTGTCTTGGTTATTTTCATTTTAAATACACTAATGCCTGCAGATAGTGCGGGAGGGAAGGGTAGAGGTGGAAAGTTGGTAGCTTTTGCAGTATTTCCAGAAAGGAGAATTCCTAAAAACTTCTTCCTTAAGTAGGGCAGGCATAATACACCCTTTATCGATGTTTGCTTAATAAGAAAAATTTGACAAAAGACATTGTAACTGCTCCATCTGACAGCTACCTCACTGTCAGCTTCAGAAACTGGAGTGCCAGGGTTGCCACAGGGGCACTGCTTCCAGTGGGAAGTTTGGTTTTTGGCAGTGCTTTTGACATGTAGTTGAATGAGTCAGTCTAGCTCTGTTCTCATGTATAACATATTTTCCATGTACGATGTCCTCCTGTCAGGCAGTGTGGGATGCTATCAAGGCTGTTAACAATTTCTTGCCACATCCAGGGAGGTGTTGTTTCTTCATGGCATAAGTGCAAAAAGTAATGTTAACTTTTAACAAATTATTTGTATGTTTTTGGAAGAAAATGAGAGGCTGTTTAGGCTGGGAAGGAAATGAAATATTTTCATAGATCAAACTCAGCTGTGATAAGATTCTTCTGTTATAATGTGGCATGTAACTGACCTCCTCTAACATCCCACACCTCATATAACCCACAGCTCTGCTCAGTGGGAGCTCTGTGGAAACTCAGCTAACTCCATAGGTACATGCTTGTTCCCACTTCCCAAATGCCTTTATGTGTTATGGTCCTGGAGATGTCAGAAAACTGCAGAGGTGCCTGTGGCACCTTGACAGCGACGAAAGTTGTCCTTCCAGACATGTGGCCCTGAAGGATGCTTTGAGGTTCGCTCCTCCTGCTGAATCACTCATCAGCCACAGGGTATTACCGATTTTGATGGAAGAGATGTAATGCAATTGCAGCCCTTTCTGGTCAAAAACTCCCTAAATGCCATCTTCCAACTAAATATGCTGATTGTATATATCTGCTGGCACATATGTACTTTAGGAGTATTTAAAAGCTTGTCAGGAACTGCGCTCTCCCCTGAACAAGAAGCATACTACCCCCAGGAGTAAGTAATAAAAAGAAAAGGCTGCATTACATTGATTTCACAAATCTTACAATGAACAGATTTTATGAAATTATGTTAAGCGAATACAAAGGTGAATTTCACTATTTTTTTTAATAGAAAAAAAGGTGTTTTAGACAAACAGTGGAATTTCTTTTAACTGTTTACCCCTGGAGTTCAGTGCTACCTATATTCCCCTCAGAAACCAGAGCCTAGACTGATTTTTAAATGTTTACCTACTTGTTTACTCAGAAATCCAGCCAAATAATCCATTTTTCCTTTCTAGTTCTGCCTTTATTTCATGGTAGCAATGCCAGCTGCAACACAGCAATGGTTTAACTTTGCCCCTGTGGTAACTTCAAGAGGTATGTACCTAGCTTGCACAGAGAGTAAAGCAGCCAGTACACAGTACAAACCATAATGACCATACAGAAAATGAAGGAAGACATCATTATTCTGGGGACTTGTGTTTGGGCTGTCCAGAGGGCAGTGCACCCTTGCTATGCTGAGCTGCAGGTGCTGCAGAGGTACCAGGGAGGTTCCTGGGCTTCAACCTGCTCCCTCAGTTACACCTAAGCCAAAAACATAGTATTGGTGTAATATGATCTCAGGGAAAAATGTTCCCAGTAAGTGGAAATGTGAAATATTTTATCCTGAGATCTGTTGCTTTCATGGTGTAGTTATGAGGGATGTGCTGTGGTGTCATCAGTAGCCAGCTGACAGTGAAAAGCCACAGCTCGGCTGGTGCAAGAATCTCTTATCAAAACTGTGGCAAAAACCTGAGGAGCTGATGTTATTGGTGTTAACTGGAGCTAAATGGGAACCCAGAAAAGGAAGGAACTGGAAAAAAGCTGGTTCCATCCAATGAAAGCAAACAGGGGAAAAGAAAGCAAACAGCCTGTGCTGGTTCTGCAGTCCAGCCAATTGTAGAGGGATCTCGTGAAATGCAGTGACTGTGAAACCCTTGCTGGCAGACACAGGGTCCTGATTCCACAGCCCTGTACCCCCTCCATTTCCCACCAGAAATAAATAGTCAAGCAAGCAAGAAAAACTCCAGTAGGACAGACATGACCGGGATAAGAAGGAAGAAAAGGAAGTGTGGTTCAATGCTTTTCAGTTCTCTGTTCTTTTCCTGTTACTGCCTTGCCTGTGCACAGTGCTCAAACAATCGCTTGGCTGGGGCTGTGTGCCAAGAACAAGGTGTCCATCTGATCAGGGGTAAGGGGGTTGCTGGAGCATTGGCAGGCTAGGACAGGACTGCACCTGCTCTGCCCCTCTCATGGTTACCCAGAAAGAAAGTCCTTCTGGAACCAAGAAGCAGGGAGAAATATTCCAGAAGGCAACAAATCCCAAATGCTGGGATGGGCAATGACTTAAAAATGGTCTGAAGGGTAGAAGCCCTGGCTTCTCAGCTGTGCCACGGGAGGCTGCACAGAAGGACACACGTTTCAGGAGAAATAAGACTAGAAAAGATTTAAAAGCCCAAAGCAGGAGAGGGTCAGGAGACAAGTAAGGGGTATGAGTGCAACACTGTCATGAGATTCCCCTGTCAGTGTTATCCACATGTGGTTGGCAAGAAATCATCTTTTCTGGTATTTTCTCAATTCCTTGCTTTCAAAACTGACTGAACACTTTATTATTAGGAACATGATTAGGCTAGAAAAAAGAGAAGATATTCGTATTAAATTGCTGGATAATCTGGAAAACCCGTGAGGGTGATGCGGGGATTTCTTCTGAAATATCTGGTCGTGATTTGTATTTGTTTGTGTTTACAGTGATCTAATAACTCAAATTTGGGACTGTGGAGAGATGGGGAAGTTGGACTTAAGCCAGTAGAAATTAATTAAGAATTGAAGGGTTTTCTGAATCAGTTTTCTTAGGTAATTTTTATCAGAGATGGAGTAAAGAAGGTCGTCTTATTTTTCTGTACCTTTGATGAGTCTCAAAAAGAAGATAGTGGAAGTCTCCCATTTAATTTATTCTAAAATGTAGAAACAAAGCTTTTCAGCAAAACTGCGGAGAGGATTTTCTTGACATATCAGCTTAAGTTACATTGCCTTCATCATTGATTGTTGAGCTTTTCTCTCAGTACTAATAGTTCACCATTTGCAGAAGAGGTTCATAAGATAGTTGACATGCAATAACAGGAGAAAGGCTGGGAGGATGAAAGAAGGAAAGTGACATGGAGAGGAGAGAAAAAAAAAAAGAAATTGAAAAACTCCAAAACAAAATATCTTTTATTAAAGATACCATTTATTAAAAAAAAAGTACCAAACTAAAAAAACATACATAGCCTTTACCATTAGTGTTGACTCACTGATACACATGAAGGGGAAAATGTGCCAAAATTCCAGTCATAGGGCACTGAGAACCGAATGAAAAAGACAGAGAGTTATCTCAAGAAAGTAAAATGATCCATCCTTGGGGAACTATGACTATAAAGATAATTGTTATTACTGTTGTGCAGCAAATGAATTGCAATTCAGCTTTGCAAAGATGCTTTTTATAAATGTAAGATAAATTTCATATACACGATATTTAAACTATGCCATTTGTGTCATTTTGCAACTGAATAAACAATAAATACATCAATAAGTGGATAATACTTAGTAAGTAAATAGATAATAAAGTGTGATATCATACAGAAAATTCATGACAGAACTGAGAACACAAGTTTTTTTCATTCTGAGTCATGTGATTTCTTACTAAGTAATTCTCTTCTGTTATGTTCTTACTCATTGAGAGCCACTGATTTATACCAATATATTTTTATCTGGCTTTAAAAAAATTCAGGTCATAAATACAGTCCAGAGCTCACCACATTTCACAAATGCCTCCAGCGTCCCTCCCAATTCACTGCACAAATATTTTTTCTTTGGTCTTCTGTTAGCATCTTCTTTAAAAGTACTCTTAAGAAGTACAGTGTGGCCTGGGTCAGCAACTTTAAGAGTTATGTTTTGGCAGAAACTTGAAATCAAAATGAAGGTAAGAATTGGAGGTTGGAAAATACAATACAAATAGAATTGAGCAGAGAAAACAAAATAAAAAATAATTTTTACTTCAGGTTTCCACTTTCATGACAGTGTAACCTTTCCAACAAATAAAAGGAAATGCCTTTTATCTTCTGGGTAACCTGAAGGGCCACTTGTAATAGTT